AGCAGCAACTTGGATGCAGAAAATGAAGCAAATCGCGCGATTTCAGGTCTGACCTCACGCTTCCAGTTTGAAGAGTTGTGGGCACTTTCGGCCATCAGTTCCGCTCCGGTCGGAGGGTTCCGCTCTGCGGAATTGGTTTCGGGGAGCGGTGACTCTGGTCAAAAAGGGGACCAGACTGCTGGGCCCCAAAGTGTGCATAGGGCGCATGCTGCAATTGGGACTCCTTAGGGGACACCGGGTTTTCGGGATGTGTGCCTTCTCAATCCTTCTTGATCTTCTCTATGTAAGAATTGACTGCATTCAGTTGCGCAGAGGAGGCAGATCCCGAAGCCTGATTGCCCCAGGAGTCCATTAGCACGACCACACTGTGTGGCTCGCCCGGTGGAGCTTCCGAAATGGGCAAGCTTCGGTCGTTTCCCAGTCGTTTCCCAGTGTGAGGTGGTGCGGTTTCAAGGGGCCTGCCTCGGCATGGTCCTCGAGACTGGACACTTTGAGACGAAAGAGTCTCCGAAAGGAAAGCGGTCAGGCCGTGCGGTCTCCGTCAGGTTCTGTGGGATCTGGTTCTTGGCCCGGAGCAAAGACGAGCTTGCCAGAACAAGCGGGCGGGGAAAAACAACAAATTGAGACTTAAGCTCAAGCGACACCGGTCTTGAGGCGAAAAATGTCGAGCAGGCTGGGCTTTTGTTTTCGTCTGACCTGCCAACACCAGAGAATCGTCGATTTTTGGACCGCACGGACTTAGAGAATCGCCGGTTGCGGAGTCGATGAGAATGGACACCTTGAATCGTTACTGTAAAAGGATAGTCTTTAGAGACACGAGATGCACGAGCTTGCGTCTTCCTTCGATCAACCCTCATCCAACCTCCGGTGACCCCCAACTCACCCACGATTTTGATTTGCATTGTTGCATCCCAGCCGCCTGTACCATCCTGGACTTGTTTTTGCGGAACAAATGTATGGTTTGGACAAGTGAGGCACCTGAAGCTTACACAAAGAACCGAAAAAACAACTATACGCCACGTTTCCACAACTTCATGTGCACCCCTCTGGTGGTGAGATCGACGCTTCTCCGGTCGTTGGTTGCGACATCAGCTGAGCATTTTGCTCTGAAGAGTCCTCTGGGGCAGAGCGTGGCAGAACGGCATCCGAGCATCCAGATTTGGTTTACCATCTAACATCCTACCCAGGAAAAGTGGATAACATGCAGAACCTGTTTGAGAAAATGGGCTTCCCCAAGCGGAAAGTTCAGCTCAGAACACCTTGTTTTCTAAGGATTTCCCACATGGGTTTGTAAGAGATTTACGACGTCCACGAAGGACCCGTTTCATGCCAACCCTGTCGGAGAGATTTGGGTCCGGGTATGTAGAGGAAGATCTGAAGGCAGGCTGGAGATCGGAAATGCGAACAAGAAAGTGAAAGAAGTGAAACACCCATCGATGCTTCTTTTGCGCGTGCTTCCCAAGAAGGATCCCTCATGTCCTTTTGTTTCATCGGGGGGTGCTTATGCTGGCAGCTCCAATGCAAAGAAACACCAAAAAGCCCTTTGTTTGTAACGCCCAAGGCGTGTCTACCACATCAGTCCAGCAAGGTAGAATGGGTCCTTGGTATGGTTTCAGATATGGATGTGAGATGGAACCCACTGACTCATAGTTGTCAATTGAGTTAAATGCGCCAACCAGCATGAAAGCTAGACAGCTCGTCTCAGCTAGACCATTTAGACCGTTCGTACCGTGCGCCTTAGAACAAATACCAGCTAGCTGTTGCGCCGAGCGCATTTGATGGCGGGGTGCCATCCACCGGGTTTCCGGAGTTTGGTCAAAACTGGAGGTCAGACTGGTCACCGGTCAGGTCTGGTCTGGTCGAAGTGACCCCATCCGATCCACGATCCCGGCAGTTCCCAGAGGATGTCGGAACCTTTGGTTTCAACGAATCCGACGGAGCCGAGCGCTTCCTCAGCCCTGTTGGACCTGAGGATCAACCCAGCAAAATCGTGGTGCTCAGTGGTGAACTGCGTTCAGTGCCTGATCCACTGTCAACACGAAGAATTGATGCACTCCTACCCTCTCCACATAATTAGGCAGTCTATTTACCAACTATAATGGATGAAGTCCTTCTTTGGTGTTCCAAACATGGTCTTGTCGCAGGGACTCGAAGAGTTTTGTTTTCTTTGTTTTTTGTGGGAAACCTCAGGTCATTTCATTCAGATGAAGAACATCGAATATTTTATTTACAGCCTTCGGCATGCCGCCGGCCACCAGCTCGAGCCCGCATTGGCAGACCGCCTAATGATGCTTATTCACAGTCAAACCGTAGATTGAAACCAACCGGGGCAGGGCAGGGTGTCGAAACATCCGCGCGGAGAAACAAACCGTAGATTGAAACCAATGGAAACCAACACAAGCCAGACGAAGCAAGACAATCCACAAAACCGGTACTTGAAAATGAGTCTTCTTCCAAACTACTTGGCCTTTTGCATGTTTTCCTTGTCCGATCTTTTTTCGACCGTCTTGAGGAATTGCGAGTCGCACAAGAACTTCTTTTTCACATACAGAAGGCTTCAAAGCGACCGAAGAATTTCTAGATCTGGCATGATT